ATACCGCACTTTTAAATTTATATAAAAGTCACAAAAAAATTCAGAAAGACTTAGTCATCTCACCGTGTGATAACGCAGGCCTGTCGTCTTTTGATGCCGGCTATGATTAGATACGAAGGCGCCACAAAATGCTCTTGCATTAAAACATCTTTTGCTGCCTCAAAAGTATTGATCTGCTCCAGTGCCTGAACAATTCACATACCGGCAGTCCTGGCTTAGTGCTTTTGAGAAGCAACGTCAGCGCAAAAACGACTCCAATAAGACAAAACCATATAGCCATCGAGAAATCTGTTGCAGCGGAGGATAGGAAAATGGGCAGCAGAAGCGAGCGCCCTATTACTTAGCTAAAACCATTATTCTCCAAATATTAATTTTATTTTATTTAAAAAAGACCTTAAAATATGCCAGGATATTCACTTTTCTCCCAAAGAAACAGAGGATTCGAAAAAAAAAATTTGTGCCTTCCACCGCTCTTCCTGCCCAAGCGCAATATTTGTGTTCAGATGACCGCCCCCCTATCTACCTCTTTTTCCCATGCCCTTGTAGCCAGGTCCCCTGTAATTAAGTGTCGTTTCAACACACGTGTTTATAAATCATAAAAGTGTTAAGCATTTGCGTTAAACTACGCACTGAAGGAGCAGAAGCCAAATTACCTTACGGATGGCAAATGTGATGGGCCTCCTGAAGTGCGTGTAAAGCTCCATGAGCAGCGTGTCAATATAAGCTCCCGAATCTGCAAAAAAAAAAAAAAATGCTTGAGAGTACACAGCAAGCAAGAAGAAGTGTTGATTTGGAAAAGCAAATGAAAAATAGGTCATTTGGAGGCGAACACCGCTCATTTAGACTGATCGAAAATGCGCCATGTCTTTGCCCCGTGCACACTCCAATATGTAGTGCAAACGTTACTGCGGTGTAAAGCACCTGCAAATTCGAAATGCAGCGATGTCGAAACTAAATATGGATCAGAACAAAAAAAGGCGTTATGCAATTATTGTGACTAAACGAGTTGAAACGCTCTCAGCCTAGCTTCTAAGCAATAATTGCAAACAGTATACATTGGATAGCCAAAGCTTTCCAAAACGGTACCCCCCTCCAGGTGCGATCGCACAAAAGTAATATCAATTTACAATTTGGGATCTCACACACGTTTGCCTATATGATCATTAGCGACGCATACAGGACGTGTGATCATGCATTTTTGCAGTATTTCATGCTGTAGTGAGACCGCTTGGAAACCCAGTGGCTAGGATTTATGGCATACCGATTCTCAAAGTTCGGAAAATTGATTGTCTACGCGATACTTGGACAGAGAAAATCCCGTCAAAATTTCATCTTTCCAACGTTTCTGGCTCTTGAGTTAGTAATTTTCCTGCTAAAAAATTTCATGTTTCGTGTGTGAGAATCACACGTATTTGGGAGCTGAATTTGATGACTTTAACTTTAATGGGGAGCTGGAAACATAACCGCAAAATTTCAGCTTCTAGCTTTTCTGGTTCCCAAGTTAGCGATTTTCCCCCTTGCCCCTCCCCCAACCCCATCCCCAAATTTTCACGCACTCGTACGCGGAGCCCAAATGCGTTTGAGGGTTGGCACCGCGGCCATGGGGTGGCACTTGGCCGGGAAGCCCAATGGCAAAATTTTAGCGCCGGAGCTTGCTTGGGTACAAAGTTAAAATATCCGAACAGTCGCGCGCGC